GGTAGTGTTGGCAGATAAATTCATACACACCAACATATCGTCGTTTTAAAATAGTAGTCAACACTTTCTGAAACGCACGGTGAACTAAGGAGGAAGCAGTGAATCATATACCGTTTTTCGTCGGTCAGTCTACTATTCCAGTCACATAGCATTATTAAGTTCACATTATTGAGGGAAATAGGCACGACTCTATTGAGTGCAGTGTACAGGACACCACTTGCGATGCAGGGGGATATAAAATAACACTTGGTGGAGTTTCAAGGTAAAGTCAAATCCTTTATGGCTCCGACACATTTTGGAACATATTTCCGTTAATTGTTCTTTTTAACCATTCCAGCTATGGTGACATCAGAAAATCTGTAGGGATGCTAATCCATGGTTTGGCCACTCCTTGTTTGCTGTCTGCGCAGCTGAAATGTATTAACTCGGAAATTGGTCGTGGTATCGAGTTCAATGAAACCTCAAAACCCCAGGCAATTACCAAATCCCCTCACAATGCCGAACCCCAACGAATTTTTCTATAACAAAATGAAGATAGCTTAAGGCTTTTCAAGTGGGTTGTATGTGCGCAAGGGTTTGGACTCCTCACTATTTCGTAGCCCCACTTTGAGGTCTTTCGAAACCATTTGACTATTGGATTGTCAATGGTCGCCACTGTTGTACATCGTACTCCAAATGCGGCCTTTCAGATGTTCGAAAATCTTCGGGAGAGGTCTTCATCGGAATCCAAAATGGCTCTTTTAATGGCGTTCAACACAGACAATAGCGTACTTCGCTACTGTCGAGCAATGCGTGGACAACTTTAAGGAATTCGTCGTCAGCGCGCTTAGGACCTTTTTTGGTTTGTATGTTTCACACGGCTGCCCCATTGAGCGAGTGCTTCTAGTATTGTTGAATCCGGTTGGATTGCCTTGGAACATTTATCGCAGTTGAACTGCAGCAGCCAAAAGTTTTATCATTTTCCCAACCGATTTACATTGATCTGTAGTCTATCCTCGTTGGCAGGCTCCGAATAACACTCCAGCTTTTCATTTCATCAGCAAACATAGCTGTGTTACAGTACAAATCTCGGACGCAACCGTCCAAGTATATTAGATACACAACTGGCCTTAGTACTGAGGCCTGGGAACTCCACTCTTGACCGCAGCCGAACTCCACATCCCTTGACCGATGCACACAACCTGGTTTCGACCCATAAGGAAGTTGTCAACGTGTTAAGTTAATTTAAACCACTTTGTTCAGAGGATAAAGCCTTTACATTTGAGCTCCATACTTAAATCCAGCAATGAAAATATATTTAACTCTGTCACAAGCAAACATGACAAATGTATACTTCATACCACTATCTTAATTATATGAACAACAGTTTCATTAATCGGTCGAACCATACAGCCAAACGATGCTGGGATATACTTGTGCTTCGAAACGACCGCCTCCGATTCTATCTCTGCCGAATGGATCGGTGAAAACCTTTATATGACAATTTTTTTCTTGGTCATATATTCTTATTAGGAAACGTTAATAGCTATAAGGTACAGCAATCTTATTTTGCCATTACTATACTTTCGTTGATATTTTATTTTATGTGAAACAAACTCCGTATTTAGCACACTAGTGACTAAGCCTTAAACTAAAACTAAACTAAAGCCACTGCATAAAGAAGGAGTTTGTTTTAGGTTCTTTCCTGTGTTCGAAAGGGTTTTACAGCGCCCAAGAGATATGAAATCAGCAAACCTTATTATAATTATTATTAGTCAACTGTCATATACACAATTATTCACCGCTCTGTCTGTTTTCCTCTTCTCTTCGATGTGTTGTATCTAGATACTGCCATTTCACTATCTTGGATATTACCGGTCAGCCAGGTTTCAGTTACTGCTATAAAATCAAAAGAGAGTTCGTTAAGGCAGACTTTTAATTGCTAAAGTTT